ATTTGCTATCGCGAGCCTGTGCCAAGTCGTTGAATCCCCGCCAAATCTATCCATCAGTCCACGACGAGCACTTGGCGGATCTGCTCCAGAGCCTGGACTCCGGCAAACGACTGCAGGAGCAGCTGCTGCAGCTGTCAGGTGAGTGGATCTCTCCATCTGAGCCGGCAAGTGGAGTGGATGCGATTGGATTGAGGGGCAGTGGGGCGCAGTGGAGCGAAAAAGCAGCGGGAGCAGCTCCGACCCAAGCAGCTGCTTTGTCATTTTAATATTTAAGCAGCCAGGCTCGAGAGCTGAAGTGGCATCAGCCATCTCAGAGATGGCTTGCGATTGAGATGGTTTATAATCTGCATTTGCACTGGCATCCGCATCTGCCCGAAGCACTTCCGGCCAATCACCGAGATGCAAGTGCACTCGAGAGTGTGGCCATGCCGGTGGAGCTTCTAGCTCCTCCAAGTGCCAAGTGAAGCAATCATTTTGTGTATTGTATATCTGTGCACTTGGCAAAATTATAAGGGGGAGTTTAAGTCCGTACAGAGTCCATAGAAATTGTTATTAACAAAAAGATAACTTCGAGAAGCCGAAGTGAGTATACCCATGCAGTTACTCAAAGGATCATAGGGTTCAAATGATAAATCGATCATAACTAAGTCAAAAATGCTCTAATTTTAATTCAGAAATTACTCCTAATCTAGTTTTTAGTAGTGCAATAAATCTGCATACTCAATTTGAAATTTACAAAAATTAGGATTTTTATCGATTTTTGATAATTTTAATGATGTAACCCGTTATAAAATTTTCAAAATTTTCAAAAAATTAAATTTATGTCGAACATGGCTAGATCGATTCAGATTTTGATCCTGATCAAGAATATATATGATTTATAGGGTCGGAAATGACTCCTTCACATCGTTCTTGGCTTCTGACTATAATTATAATACCATAATTTGACCAAATATTTATCTATATTTTTATATGAAAATATGTACCTTAAATCAAATTTAAAAATCTCATAACTAAGCCAAAAGAGCAGTATTTTTAATTCGGAAATCACTCTTATGTTAGTTTTTAGTAGTTTAATTAATTTCCATACTCAATTATAAATTTACAAAAATTAGGATTTTTATCAGTTTTTGACAGTTTTAACGGGGTTACATCCTTATAAAATTTTCAAATTTTTGAAATATATAAATTTTTTCCAGACATAGCCAAATCGACTCAGTTTTTGTTGCTGATCAAGAATATATATGAATTATAGGGTCGGAAACGCAGCTTTTCAAGCTGCTTACTGAAATTAGAATACCCAGTAAGGGTGTAAAAATAAACCTATGAAATATTAATATCATCTTAATTTAATTAATAAAATACACATTTTCGTTACGCTCCCTAGATTTTTCTACAGTGTTTTCAATACATTTTTTGTTTTGTTTTCTGCCATTTCTATTTGCAGATCGTTGCGCCACGCACTACGACAGCAATCACTTCCACTTGGTGGCGGACACCGTGATGGCGACTCTGCACGCCGCGAACAACTTCTTCGAGAGCTCCAAGCCGTGGCTGCTCAAGGGCGGGACGCCGGAGGGCGGAAATGAGGCACGTTTGGAGACCATAATCGCCATGACAATGGACGCTCTGCGTCGCTGCGGCATTGTCCTGCAGCCCATAATTCCCCAGCTGGCCCAGCGGCTGCTCGATAAGCTCAGTGTCCCGGCCACGCAGCGCCAGTGGGATTCTCTGGATTCCGGGACTTTTGCCACCGCAACTGTGGAGAGTCCTCGCCAGTTGGATGGGCAGACCAGTGCGCTGCTGTTCCAGCGGATTCTGGAGGAGAAGAGCGAGGTGAAGAAACCACCGCAGCAGACAGCCAAGCGGAGTAAATCGCAGAACAAGGAGAAGCGCCGCGAAACAATGTCCTGAAGTAGCCGTCATAATAAACTAATTCGAAAGCCAAACTGAGGGACAAGACATTTATTTAAGGCTGTGCGGGATGCTAATAACACTAGGTCGTTAGCATTTTACATTTGGAGTCACTGGAGTATAAAAGTTCAACAAGCAATGTAAATGCATTAACCAGCTAAGGTTTCTGTTTTATTAATTTATTTATTTATTTTTTGTCTTGGAAATTGTAAATGATTAAGATAGTTGAATACTAACACAACATTTAAAGTAAAGTAAAGAATGAGCCCTTCCAAGTGCAATTATACCCTCGATAAGCATCTCATGAAAAACACAGCAAAGTAATTGAAAATCCCTAAATCTAGCAAACATTTTTTGTTGATAAGAAATCTCTGTTAACTTTTACAAGATGTCTGAAGTAGCCGCAAATCAAAAATGCTGGGCAGGGATTTCCCACACTCCCTCTGGCCCGCCGAGTCTCATTAAAATCCACTTAATTATGTGCAGGAAGGAAAAGCCAGAGCCACACAGCATCGCTGTCTCATATTCCTTTGTAATTTATTACACGTAATTGAAGTCAGCATCAGGTGCCGCCGACCGGGGGCGCGTTTATTTATGGCCTTCAATTGGCGAGACAGGTTGCGAAACCCGAATCCGACTTGAGGCCAGACTTTTATTTGTTAATTTATTTTAATTTCCACCAAGAGCCAAAAAAAGAGAAAAAAAGAAGAAAGCGATTCCCCACACGAAGAGCGCGTGGTAATCAAAATAAATGGCTCTCGAGCCAAGTGCATGTGGCCATAAAGGAGCCGGGGAGTTGACCAAGTCAAGTGCAGCCATTAGAGTCAATTGCCCGGCCCAGAGGAGTAGACAAAGCTGATTAGATTACGCGCCAGCCAATGCCAGATCCGACTCCGGCAAATAGTTTAATTAAGATTTTCTTCGCAGCTCGTACTCCGTAGTCCGGAGCTCAAGCTCTAGTTCAAGGATGGCGGCATCAATCAGGTCTCAAGTCCAGAAGTCGAGAACTACTGTTGGCCAACAGAGTGCAGTTTTCTTTCTTTTTTGTTATTTGTTTGTTCTTACTTGGTTCTTAAGTTGTGTGCCAGTGGTGGGAAAGCTTCTACATCCCAGTGGACCAAGAACGGAAGTATCGGAAGATGTTCCAAAACGCGATTAGAACTCATATAAACAGGTAACTTATTCTTGTATAATCTATACTAAAACATCTATAATGTTTTCTTATTTACATTAATATAATATTTATCCCTTTTCTAAGGTATAAAATTATCAAAGCAACGAGTAGTATCTCATCCCTGCCATCACTGCCTTCCTCCGTTGGTTGATTGCTCTTGAACGGTTGAAATTTTCCGGACGCCATCAGCTGCAGGTAAACAACAATTTAACTCCGCCTTGCCGTGGCCTCGTGTGGTTTCCACCGCTTAATCCCCGCACCTGTTCCACCTGTCCCCCTCTCTACTACCCGGTTTGGCAATTAGCCAGCCGAAAATGTGCGGGCTTTTGGGCCCAGTTAACTTGCAATTTGGTGCTGCTGCTGCGGCGGCCTGTGTTGCAGATACGGGTTGCAGCAGATGCTGATGCTGATGCGGAGGTTCCATGTTGATGCAGACACTTTGGTGTGTTGTTTGCCCCCGAAAAGCTAACGCACGATAAGGGATAGATAGATGGATATATGGCTACCGAATGGGGTGGCCAATTAGTGGTAGAGTTTCCAGCTTGCTCTTTATGGTCTGCAGTGAGGCAATGGTGGCTAAAATCTGATGAATTGGCCAATTATGGAGGGTATTCTGGCATTAATGTTTTATGTTTTTGATATATTAAAATGTATATTAAATATTGTGCACTTTTCCTTTCGATAAACATCACTAGTTTGTTTTAGATATATATTTTATATATATAATTACAACTAAAAGAGCTGCGAGACAAACGATTTCATAATTACAAATTTATTTGTATTTCTTCTTAGCAGATTTCCCAAACCAAAGACAAAGGCTACCAGGCTCTTGGAATAATAAAAGGCTTCGTTTTTACATGAACTCGGACGGAATGCAAAGCCAATTCGTGACTGAAGACAATGGAGTGGCCTCCAATCGAATAATAGCTTATATTTCTAACAAAACAATACGAAAGCGTGTCGATTGTGAAAGCAAGTAAACAAACTTTTCAAATGTGTAGACAACAAAAGCTAATTTAATAGAGAAAATTCCAAGAAAATATGTCCAGAACTTGGCAAAGAGTTTCTCATCCCCCTTTTTCGATCCCTGTCCTAGCATAATTTAATATCCAACCGGACGGAATTAAATTTATACGGCAAGCAAATTAAGTTGACGTTAATGAGACAGCGGAAGGGCAGCGGGATGAAGGGGATTCAGGGAAACATAAACAAGCGCATTAACATGCTTGACTTGTAAAAAGTTGTTAAGTTTGCATTTAAAATGAAATTATGCAGGCGCAGCGCCGAGGCGTTGCGTCCTACGCCCCTCCAGCTCCCCAAGAAGAAGGTAATAAGGTTAATGATTCACTTTAAAGGCTGCTTAAACTCGAGTTCCGTTCCGATTTTGTTGTTGCCGGGTTTTCCCTGCGGACGGTTGGATGGATGCTGGATGCTGGATGCGCGTTGTTGCGGTGGCCGAGAGTTGCACTTTGATTAATTACAAAGTTCGCTCGATGGCCTTGGCGCCCTTTGTTGGCTTTGCTGTCGCTCTACAATCTCCATTCTCTACGCTCCTGTCACCTGCCTGCCGCCTTCCGTTTCCGCTTTGCCAATGCATAATTTAATTTGCCTGCCAGCAGCCACGTGGCGTATGCGCAATATTGTAAACGAATTAGCCCCCACTTGTTGTCTGGCGGCTTAAGCACCGTGTCAATGGGGCAGCTCAAGGGCTCTAAATAGGTTCGAAGACAGGACTTTAATATTTAAAATATACTAGATTTCGCATAAACTACGATAGGGATACAATATTGGTAGCATTTAATCAAAAGACTGAAAAAAACGCCGCTTAACTTTTCGTGGAAAAATGATAATCGTATTTTGTATTGCTCAGAGTTTAAAGAATTATATATAAAGTATCAGCATTTTATTCATAATGGCATCAGTACTCGGTCAGTCTCTGGTGTCTCAGCATCACGGCATGTCAAAACCTTATCTGTTCTGTGGCTTGGAACTGCTGCTGCTGTTGTTCGTCTCAGTTAATGGCTTGATTTTGCCGGAACACAATTGCACACCATATTTCACATACGGCATCGAAGATGGTAAAACCTACTTCGGGCTTTTTACCGCTCCCATGGCTGGCCTTCCTAGCATATCCTGGAATGTTTCCTTCGTGTGGCAAGGGTCTGCAGTAAGTCCTATTGCCTCGTGGGATCATTATCCGAATAGAACTGAGGCTATACAGAGTATTAACAGTGGACGACGTGCCCAGCTTATAGCGCGATTTAGGAACATCAATGAGCAGCTGCCGATACTCGTAGATCTCCAGGTTAATGGCGAAACGTTGTGCAGTAACCAGGGATGTGAGTATTGGGATCGGAATGATATTTACTATATATTATAGATATCTGTGTGTGTTTCTACAGATGGAAACAGAGTTACAACCACTCGCGGCATTTCCGCCACTAAACCAATCAGAAGAATTTACAACTCTCGCCCCGAAGTGTTGCCTAATTTTCCAACAATAGCCCCAAAAGAAGGTTCGACGAGGAGGTTGAATTTATGGAATTTTAAATGTTCAAGTGCTTAATACGCAATAAAAATGAAATTCAAAACTCATATTTATTGATAACCCTACGATATTATGCACTAATGCCAAAGCAGGTCATAAATCAAATACCACAAATCAGAGTAAGTTGGTTTTCAGGCCACCAAAAATCAAAGCAAAGCATCCGGCTAAAATGTTTAATTGGATTTCGCAGTTATGTGTAGTTGCAAACATATTGAGAGGCTTTTAATATATACATATATGTATATATAATGGAAATTCCACAGCAGCGACAAACATCCGATAAATACAATAATGATGATGGCAATGGCAATGGCAGATGTGCAATCGCCGCTTAACTAATTCATTAAGCCGACTCAAAAGTGTTTAATGAATCGCTGGCAAAGCCACAAAGCACTGCTATTGTTGATGTTGTAATGTCTCCAATTAAAGCAATTAAATGTGGAAATTAAATCGAGCATATTGAGGCATTTAATTGGGGCAAAATACTATGTTAAGTGGGATGCACACTTGGCCAACGCAGCTGCGACAGTCTAAGCCCAGTTGGGCAGCATAGATTTCTGCTGCTTCACATAATCTGTAATTAAATTGCACTAAAAAATGCCAGCTAAAATCCTTAATCCTTTAACACACACACACACACAGAGAGGGACAGCAGCCAGGCAACAACTATGTCGAGTCGTTATCCCTTTTAATGAATTTTTTGCTGGCCCCGCTTTTCATTTTGCCTGGGCAAGAGCAAAGTTTGTTTTCCCTTAGCCCCCCAGCAACCCTTTTTTGCACCCAAAGTAAATATTTTACTATGCCACTATTTAAAGCATACTTGCAGCCGTTTCAGGCGGCTGTCGGCACAGCTGGAAAACCACAGCTGGAAAACCTGCGGCAAGGCGGGCTACAGCAGCCCAGACGAAGGGTAAAGGAAAACGCTGCTGAAGCAACAGCCTGGCAGCCATTTTATTTTTGCAATATTTTCCAGGTCAAAATGTCGTAGAACTTTTATTAACTTCATGCCAAAACCTCGGTACAGTGAAAGAAAAGCATTGGTTTAGAGAGTATTTTAAAAGTTTTTTTCCAATAAGTGTAAGTCATATTCAGAAAACCCGGTATTACAAAAAATATTTATAAACAGAATAAGTATTTATGGGGGAGATTTAAAATCTTAGGCGAAGGGTTTTTAAACTTTAATTTGGCTTAGTTTTTAGGTCTTAATAATACTTAGTTCTCATTTCCAAAGTAAAGTTAAGTAAAGTAATATTAAAACATGTAAGGAAACTTGTTTATGTTCATATACCCTTCCAGTTTTGCAATTGATTTTTAGGATTGAATTTTTTAGACAAATCAAAATTTAAAAATAACATAACAGGGCCAATAATTCATTCAATTTAATTTGGAAATCGTTTCTATGTTAGATTTTATTAGGTTAATAAATTTGCATACTCAATTTTAAATTTAAAAATATTCGCGATTTGATCAATTTTTGACAATTTTAACGATGTAACCACTTATAAAATATTAAAATTTTTGAAAAATATACATTTTTGCCGAACATAGCCAGATCGATTCGGCCGTTGATGCTGATCAAGAATATATATGATTCATGGGGTCGGAAGTGACTCTTTCACTACTTTACAAGCTTCTGATTAGAATTATAATAATTATAATACTCTTCAGGAGTATTTTTTGGATATAGTTTTTATATTTATTTATATATACTGGCTGTAACTTATTCACTTTATTTTATTAATATATAACTAAATTTATTTTATGCGAATAATGCAATTAAAAAAGAATATATAATTAATTTTAAGCTCAGTGTTTCAGTGCAGTGCAGTGTGTGTCCCTGTGCGTGATTGTACTTGCTCTCGTCCTTGTGCCTGTGCTTGTGTTTGTGTCTAAACATTAAAAGTAGCTTAGTGTTGTGTGTCGTTGGTCGTTGGGCGTAAGTGTTTGGGTCTCTCATGTTTATAACTTATATTGGGGATGTCAACAACCGAATGCGCTTCGAGTACAGGAGGGCGGAGGTGGACTTTGCATTGCTGCCCAGTGGCCAAGGATCGTTATCCTGGCTGCGGGACTCCTCGAGTGTCCTCGTTTTGGGTCTTGTGTTTTATGACCTGGAAAGAGGCCACTCAAAATAAGCGTCAAAGCGGAGCAAGCTGATTTTAAAGACGCCTAAAACAGGAATTTTTCCTGACTCCTGCTGAAGTTGGAAAGGGGGAGCAAGGATGAGGACGAGGACGTTGATAGGTAAGACAAATTAATTTGCTGCACTTTTGCATGACAATGCAGGATTTATGAGCAGACAAAGGGTAAGGCCATGGCAAAGAAAAAACAAAATGAAAAATGTAATTTCAACGAAGACAAAAGGCGATGACGACGACGGCTACGACAGACAACAAATGAGAGCAGCAGGAAAATTAAATTCACCTTCGAAAAATACTCAAGCTTTCTCTGGATGGGCTCTGAGTTTTTTTGTGTTCTCAGTTTTTCAATCGCATTTTTTCCACTTAGACAGAAGTATATAAAAAATACATTTCTCAGAAAATAAACACTATTGTGGTGGCATTTTTTCTATATAGTATAGAAATATATTCCGATAAGAATGGCATCGCAGCCTGTTGAGTTCTCTGAGCTGACTATCAGTATCAGTTGTCTTTGGAACATGCGTATAATCACTTCGTTGCTGATCTGCCTCGGTCTATCTCTGGCCTCTGCTGTGAGTTTGCTCATTCCGCAGAACAATTGCCTGGATTACTTCACCTATGCCACCACGGAGGAAGGAGAAAGAAGGGGCTACATGGGGATTTTCACGGCTCCCAAGGGCGGTGTTTTCCGTATATCCTGGAATGCGGCATTTGTTGGCCATGGAAATCGAAATGTAATTTAACAAATTTTTATTTATTATTTATTATAAATTTATTATTTTAACTTTAAAAGCTCCAATTGGAAAAAATGATGCCGTATCCCAGCAGGGAGGAAGCAGCAAAAAATATTTATAATGGCCACAGGGCACAGGTATCTGTGCGTTTCGTGAATATTACCACTGAACTGCCCAAACTCGTACATTTGGCTGTGAATGGAGAGACACTGTGCCAGAATCCGGGATGTGAGTAAATAATAATAATTTAGAGTCCTTAGTGACCTTCCCATTTGTTCCCTTTTTCTTGGCAGATGACCCTCCATCGACTAGAACTACCGCAAATTTAAATATGAATTTATCTATTGAAACAGAAAAGAAGCCTTGCGCTAAGAATGCAACCACGATTTCTCCATGATAAAATAAACAAAGGGTTCTTTCTTTTTATATACTGAGACCCTGATAAGCTGATTTTAATTACAAATTCCAATTACTTATGATGAAACTCCATTTAAAATCTTATAAACCTTTTATTTTTCTTTGAGCAGACAGCAATAATGAAATGATGTATATTTGTGTACAGTTTTCTTTTGCAATGCTTTATTATGTGTATTATTTTAAATCAAGAATATCGTAAAATTTTTCTAAACTGGGAACACGGTCGCCTGTGTGCCCTTGTTACCCTTCTTTTTTTATATATATATTTTACTTGACGTTGCATGCGAATATTTGACAGCCTTTTTAAATGGCGTCGCCGGGAAACTTTTCTCGTTGCTGCCGGGCGCTGAAAAGTATGCTACAAAAAACGAAAGGTGACTAATGCCGATGCTTCAGAAGGAGTAAAGCCCCTTGTAATTTGTGCTCCTCAGAAGGTTGCTCCCTCCCTCCCCCGCATCCAATAAACATGCATATTAATGACCGTAAGCCCTGTGCCGAAGGACTCCCAGCTCGGTTCGTGCAGCCCATTTGCCTTGCAAAGCGATCAAATGAATCAACGATACGGGCAATTTCCGACCAGGAGCAGTGAGTCCTTTGGCGAGTGCATCTCGAACCGCTGGAAATGAATCCAGAGCGATGACAGGAACACAGCGCCGGGGCGGATGCAGCAGCTTAACCAGAAAGCACTCAAGGAGCGGCATCCTTCAGGAGCGCTACCTGAAATGTCCTGACATCGGAAGGTGGCACGAATTTATGCCTTTCTTTATATTTGTGGATAGGCAATGAACCTTGGGTATCTTGTTCGGTTATGAAATAAAAGGCAGAGGCTTTAATATTAGGGCAAGGTGATGTTAAGGATAAATTAATTTATGAAATAATCATTAATAAATTAAAAGTTACATGAAAAACTGCTTTAAAAACGAGTTAAACATTTAATTACCTTTGAAATTATACCTCAAAATATGTTTTAAAAATTACGTTGCCTTGTGGGTGTGTGTGTTTTTTTGTGCGACGACCAAGAGTTTTGTGAGTCTTTACTGATTTATAGCTCCTTTAATAGGCAAGTATTCATTAAAAAGTTGCATTGCTCGTATTAACTCTTAAAAGGCCCTATAAGAAAGTATCCCAAGTGTCGTGAAAGCGGCTTACATACACATTTCCTCGAATTTTTCCACGGCTGAGCATCTTTCGCTGAAATGCCTTAATCCGTGAGAGCATTGCACTCAATCAGGAAAATCATTATCAGTTCGAGGGCACTCTGTGCAGTTGCCACAGCTAATGAAAGCAGCTCATTGCTTCTGCCGAAGGAAGCCAATTAAAAATGAAACAAACGAAGATGCGGATTACATTTCTGTGACAATAAATCCACTTGACTTACAGTTCGCCCATATGCCGCCGAAGCAGGAAGGAATAAAATCAAGGAATTTCGGCATCCCTTTTGAGCGGCTTTAAATGTTTTTGTTTGCCTCTGATTTCTTTTGAGGATATAAAAGAAGCAACAGTTCGACTTCAGATTCACTCCAACCAAAAAACATGCAACAAAGGGGAGATAAAATAAGACGACTAAATAAAAATAAAATCAAAATACGTGAACGGTGGGCGTAGCGAGCATAAATCTCATCAATCAAATGGAATTGTGCGCATAAAGTTATCGGCTCAGCTTACAGCAGATAACTCTCAACCCGAGACCGAATCCGGGGTCCGGGGTCTCTGGATCCCCTCAGTCTTCTCCCCGTCTGCTGGGGCAATTTCCAGTTTATTGTTTCAATCTGTTGAGGCAAGGCCAGCTGAATCAGGACCCCTCCTGGAGGTCTACACTTGCAGAAGCACAAATGACCAGACATAATGGCTAGATTCCTTAAGCAGTTTGGATGTAGAGGAGCTTCCCTTAAATTTAAAGTATACGGTAAACATTTTCCTATTTTGTGATTATAATTTGCTTGAATTTACCTCCCTATTTGCTGGGCTTTAATCTGTAAATCCAAGTGGTAATAATATATTTCCAAAAACCATTTTTTCTCAGGATGTATTCTTTCCCACACCGTATTAGGCACAAATCAAGCCCGTGCCCGTGGGCCAGTTTGGAATCTGTGTCCTCTTCTCGGTTGTGGCACTCGATTTGGTCTCTGGTTAGTTTCCAGTTTTCTGTTTTTGTTTTTGTTTTTTTGAAGTGCTTGGACTTCAGCACTTTGCTGCCGTTGTTGTGGAAATCCGATTTATTTGCATTTGCCTTTGAGTGCCGGACGTACAAAAAAGGGAGAGTCTGCATTTTGGCCTATATATAACTTGGATTGTTTTCTCGGTTTTTGTGGTTTCTCTCCTCTTAGTCTTATCTGTGCTTTGTTCAGTCTTAAAGCTGAAAAGCAGTTGCTTCGACATTAAAGTCGGCCTAATTAAGTTGCCAAATTATTTATGGTCAGAGCAGGCCTCGAGGCGATTCGCGAACCGTGCCAGCTGGGCAAACACTTTGAGGGGAGAGAGCAAACAAGTGTTTCCGACCCCTTGGCCATATTGATTAGGTGCGTAAATATGGCCAAGATGGCGGTGTACATCCGTGTCCGTGTTTATGTCAACTGCCAAGGACCTAATGGCTAATGGCGTGCAGCCAGCAGTCCCTTGAGGATTGTATGGCCAAGTGCCGGGAGTGTGTATCCAAACGATTAATCCATTGGTACTTTAATTAGCAATATTACTTGCTATGTTGCTCAATTTTGTATGAATATTAACTATAAGCCTTATTTAAATTATTGTTTGTAACAAATAAGATTCAAAATCATTGGTTTTTTTCAGCTATATTCAAAACAAACCTATAGCAGGAAGAGACGTCAAGTGCAGTTTATGCTGCGGGTTTTCTCCAGCAAAGTGGCCGCGGATTTTCCCCTTCGCAACCCATGCTGCGCGCTGATGGTAATAAAACGTTTAGTTCTGTTAACTTGCGAGTGATTTCCGGTGGAAGCAGAGAAACGAAGGGAAAACTAGGGAAAAACCGTGGAGGGAAAGAGCAGGCACAAAACTTTGTTGTTATTGTTGTCGTCGATATTTGAAAAGTTGCTCGCTAATTTCGCTTAAGGACTTTAGCAACTGAAATTTGCCGTAATTAACAGAAACGTTTGCATTTTAATAGACTTTGCATAAATTTTTGTGTTAAGTTTGGAGTTCAAGCCCAACGCGGCAGAAGGTAAAGGGTTAGGGAAACATTATGAATAAAGTTATGCCATAATCGATAAGTGGAATTGTGTACCACGGGGCGGATGTGGAATGCGTGCGGGGAGGCACATCGAGTATACGCAACGTTGGCCAGCCAAGGAGAGTGTGTGTGCGTGTGTGCGTGTGTGGACGTGCAGTAAAGCATGACTAATGACAACTTTGGCCAGCCATGTACACGCCCGTGTATATGTATATATCATTTCGCTTAGCAAACAAATAACAAATATCACAGACTGGGACATGGCCAGAGAGCGTTGAGCGTTGAGCAAAATAAAGACAAATAGTGTGTAGCTTTGAAATGTTTTCATGTTGCCTTCGGAGATAAAATGGCAAATTGTTGCACACTCGACCGAACTAGTATATTTTCTTCGATTTACGAAAGATTCTTTGACGTTTTAGTCTTATTATATCCTCAAAGGGTATTATAATCTTAGTTAGAACTTTAACATTTATTTTAGAAAGATCTAAACCCTTTATGTTATCTTAAATATAATTCGATACTTAGTTTGTAAGAGGCATTTTTAATTTTCTTTAAGATTAACATTATATAAATATTAATGATCAATTTTTTATGATTGTCTCAGTCTTATTTTCAAGAGAATTACCTTCAAAACTGTGTTTTTCCAGTGTTTCTCCTCCATCCTTCTTCGATTTCCTTTCGCTGCTGTATAAATAAATGCCGGGAGAATACAGCGCACATTTGCAACATTTATTGAGTCGTTGAACGAGTTGAATGAGTTTGGGTTTTTATTTTTAAAACGACGGCTGAAGCTGGAGCAACCGGAGCAGCGTCAGGCCAAGACTAAACGAGCGAACACAGTTTAAATATTGATTTACGACCAACACACACAAATCGAGGGGGCGGTGGCAGCGAGAGGGAGAGTTGGGGAAATGGACAAAGGACGACCGCAAAACAATGCCAGGCAGCTGGAATTTGTGTTTTAAATTATGACCAGACGAGAATTTCTATTTAAGTATAAGCAATATGTAATTTCCCCTGCGGCTGGCAAAGAGTTTTATGTGTGAAACTAAGGAGTTAATGGCTGTCAAGTAAACGGTTTTAAATATTGGTAAAATGGTGTGCTAACTTTATTAGTTCATAGAGATTAGTTATTATTAAGACTGGAAATTGTCTAATATATTTCAATATTATCTCCCTGAGATCAATAACAATGCTTTCGGCTAAGACTCTGCCAATGAGCAAAGCCAAATACACAAAGTGAGTCCATAAATTGGGTCCTTTATGAGGTTGTCTGGTCCCTGTATCCCCGTATCCTCTTCTGGCCAGATTTGTAGTTGGATGCCCACAAAGGAATAATCAGCAGCTGGGCCAGACACTGCCCAAATTTCGATTTGCCATTGCAATCATTAGACAGTGGGCTGTTCCGGCTTCGGGGCGAAAATTGAATGTCAAGTACAGGGGGCAAGGGAAATTCGAGACTGCCACTCTCCTGCCTGCCTGCAGGATGCGGCAATGCAATATGCAAGGATGCTGCGGAGCACTAGGATGCTGGGGATGGGGCACAACGAAGCTAGACCCACAAGACGTCCTGGCTGGCGAGGCAGACAAAATGCGCAAATTGGTTTCACTTGGCAGGACAAGCGTGAAAGCGATGTTGTCCTAGTCGCCGCTTTTCCCGCTCGACTGCAGCTGCAAAAACTTTGCTTAACTTGCGGCAAAAACTTTCCCCCAGAACACGTTGCGCATACGCCGCGTAGTACGAAGAAAACGCGCCCACATGGCGTATGACAAATGTTCGCAAATCGTTCTGCCCGAACACTAGCCATTAGAATAGATTAGAGGAGGCTGTATGTGGGGGCTTTGGGACTGGGACAGGGTTTCGTTTTGGGATTGGTTTTGGGATTGGGACTGTGACTGGGATTGTGACTGAGATGCCAGCACTCAACACTCAAGGTGTTGGTAATCTCGTCCTGACCTCCGATTATTATGATTGAGGCCTGTTGTGCGCTGCCCTCGAGTGTCGTAATAATTAAATGGAATAATTGCCGGGGCCAGCCAGAAATTCATCACGCCCACCAACCTTTGCCTGGTGGAGATCCACTTAAAGGAATTTTAAGTCATTCTAAATTTAATTAATTATTTCTTTCTTTAGCTTATATAAATATATACATATACATCTTGTTGAGGGAATACAAAATTTCATGGTTTTAAAATGCTTTACTTACATACTAGCTTACAACAGCTTGCAATGTAAATAATAACTCAAAGACATATGCAAATATTTATGTTTATATTTTACATAAAAACTTATAAAGCCTATTTTAGTGAAATATTTTTCTACCTGTGTATTGGTGCGTACCGCCCTCGCTTGGCATTTAAGGTGGCAGACTCATTTGTAAGCCAGTCCAGGTTTGCCCTGGCCCCAAGAATCTCCTTAGAGCCATGTCGCTTTGTTCCTGGCTCTTGTTTTTCTTATGAATTCTTGGCCTTGAGCCGAGTTCAGGATACCTGCCTTCACACATCCTGTGGAAATTTCAATGAGATCGAGGTCCATGCGTGTCCCACGCAATTTATTTCCTACGAGTGTTGTCCATGCTCGAGCCTAAAATAACAAGAACTGAATATATATGTTCACGACACATGTATATGGCGTTGTGAACCTATTTATCAATGGCCTGAAAGCTTGGCCTTTTCGCCAGCTAAGATTCATAATTTAGGGGTTTCCGCTATACAAATTACCGTGAATATAGTTTACACATTTTAAGTTTTGAACCAGGGAAAAGTGTAAATAAATGAAATTATAAATATTTAAAAATGGTAGTTTGTTTTGCCCCTGTAAGGTATTATAATATTAGTCAGAAGTCTAGAACGATGTGAAGGAGTCATTTCCGACCCTATAAATCATATATATTCTTGATCAGCATCAAAATCTGGATCGTTCTAACCATGTTCGACAAAAATTTATTTTTTTCGAAAATTTGAAATTTTTATAAGGGGTTACATCATTAAAACTGTCAAAAATTGGTGCAAATCCTATTTTTTTAAATTTAAAATTGAGTATGCAGATTTATAATAATACTAAAAACTAACATAAAAGTGATTTCTGAATTAAAATTAATGCAGTTTTGGTTGAGCTATGAGATTTCAAAATTTGATTTGTATAGCATATTTTCATATAAAAATATAGGTAAATATTGGGTCAGAGAATGGTATTTTAATTATAGTCCGAAGCCTATAACAATGTGAAGAAGTCATTTCCGACCCTATAAAACATATATATTCCTGATTAGCATCAACAGCCGAGTCGATCTAGCTATGTCCGGCAAAAATTTATTTTTTTTCGAAAATTTGAAATTTTTATAAGGGGTTACATCGTTAAAATTGTGAAAAATTGATAAAAGTCCTAAATTTTGTAAATTTAAAATTGAGTATTCAGATTTGTTAAACTACTAAAAATTAACATAAGAGTGATTTCCGAACTAAAATTAATACCTTTTTGGCTTAGTTATGCAATTTCTAAACTTAGATTTGTAGAACAATTTTTCACATGAAAATATGGTTAAATATTGGGTCAAATAATTGTAGTTAGAAGTTTGTAAAACTATAAATAATATATACTCTTGAACAGCATTAAAATCTTAGTCGATCTAGTCATCTCCGGCAGTTTCATAAATTCGAGACTCTGAGTTAGTGATTTCCAATGACTAAAAAAAGAGAATCTTTCAATGATTGATGGCGGGAAGGCGTCTGCATCAATCACGCCTCTTGGGCTTTAGGGCTTTAGTCATAAATTTATGTCTGATACTTACACTTCAACACCTACTGAAGAGACCTCATTGCCGCTTTTTAAGCATTCCGCTTGAGACTAGCAGAAGAAGATAAAAAAATGCCAAGGAGAGATTATTCATAGAGGGAAAACCTCGAACCGCGAACGGGGTCAAAGTGCATTCACTGGAAAAGTTTCAGCGGTTTATTTTTGAGGATGAGGCTGCGGTGAGCGCAAAAAAATACGAACAAAATATCTACTTTAACTTGTGTTTATTTTGTCCGTTTGATGTTGTGAGGCTGCTGTTCTCCATTTGTCGAATGCTTAAAGCCATTTGAAAATGATTGGCTTTTATGTCAATAAGCGTCTCAGCTGTCCTTAGGATCTTTTTCTCTCCCTCTTTTTTCCCTGACCTTTTTTTCTGTGCTTGTCTCTGGCGTTGTCGCTTTTTCCAGGGCTTTTTTTTGCCTTTTCTTTTGGCTTTTCCTTTGGATTTTGCACTCGCGGTATTCTCTTACAGTCTGTCGTTGTTTAAGTGCCCTCAATAAAATACAATAAATATACACATAAATTTTTATATAGAACATCACGCATATATATGTATGTACAATGTAGGAGAGAGCTTGTTTGAAGGTTCCGCAAAAAAGTTGTCGCGTTTTAATAGGCCAACAACAAAAAAGTAAACAAAATATAAAAAGAAATAAAATGTAAACACTGCTTTGGGTCACTTAAAGTTCTTATATTTTTCCAGCTTAAATTTTCAGTTTCAGCCCAGGCAGCTGCCATAAATCTTTTAGGGGCATTTAGGCAGCTGGCAGCTCGAATCCGCATTAAAATACAAATCAAATCTTCACACTGCCAAAGGGAAAATCAAATTTCCAATAAGTTTGCTAAACATCGAAGCGTAAAATAAGCATTCATCACTCAGTTGTCCGTATATCCTTTGTTTTATATTTTTTGGGCTTGTATAAATCGGAATTTAAACCTTTTTTTTTGAGAGAGCAGCACGCACAATTGATTTATGAAAATTTATTGCACACATGCGGAAAACCAGGACACCGAACCCTTGAACAGTGCTTCAGGTGAAGTATTGAGGGATATTACATTTGAATAGTTAATAAAGTAATTCTTTGGCTTTAAACTCTTATGGCTGAAGTAGAAAATGGTAATTTTATAATAAAAGAAAATATCTTGTATATATTACACCAGTATGGCTGCTTTTTCCTCTTTGATTGGAGACATTCGCCTCCTGGCGATAGGCAACATTTTTCGCTGTGGAAAAATTAAAGCTGTGCCAGGCCGTCGCGACAGCAATAAAATCAGAGCCATAAAAGCTAATGAGCCCGAAAACTCGTCGCCGTTGTCACAGCCATCGCAGCATCGTCCTCCGATTTGGACCAACTACAAGTACGTATGGCAAGGGAACTGGATATGGAGATGGAGATGGAGCTGGAGCTGTTGCTCCTGCTGCATTCCTTTCGTAAAATCGAATCCTCCATAAAATGATGGCGATCGGCGGCTACCTACGGCTGGGAATGCCATAAAATGTGATGCTGATTCCCTGCGATTCATCTGATGATGAAAATACTTGCCGTTCTCGCCGTTATTGCCTCTGTGAGTGCGCATAAATTGAGGTACAAGTGGCACAGGCAAACAAACAAGTTAATGTCTAGGAAAAGGCGCAGGGAATTTGCCATATAAGGGATCTCGGGAAAGGTAGCTGATTTATGTGTCGAAAATAAAAAGATATTTGGGTCTCATACAGTGAGGGAAATTAGTCTTAAATACGCTTAAATATCGAGGTAAAATTAATGCTTTTTTGCTTAGTTATGTGGTTTTAAGACTTTGGTTTATAGGACAAATTTTCATATTAAAATATAATTAAATATTGACCCAAAGAATAGCATAATAATGTTAGTCAGAAGCTTGAAAAGAAGTGAAGGAGTCATTTCCGACCCTATAAATCATATATATTCTTGATCAGCATCAAAATCTGAATCGATCTATCTAGTCCAGACAAAATATATTTTTTTTTCAAAAATTTGAAAATTTTATAAGGGTTACGTTAAAATTGTCAAAAATTTATAAAAAACCGTAAATTTTTAATATTTAAAATAGAGTATGCAGATTTATAAAACTACTAAAAATTAACGTAGGAGTGATTTTCGATTTAAAATTAATGCTTTTTTAGCTTAGTTATGAGATTTTACACTTGGATATGTACAAAGTATGAGAACAGTAAGGGTAATCAGTTTAAAATCTCTCTCTGTGATTAGTAATTAATGAATAATAATATTTCAAATTGATATTTTAAAGAATTTTCTGTTAACATTTTCCTAATAAATCTTTCGCAAGTTTTTAGACTTCATTTCTGAAAGTGTTTAGTTCCCAGTAGGCGGCCTGTGACTCGTCGGTTGAGAAGTGAAATCGACTGAGCATTGGAAGCCATAGGGAGCTCCCCTCGTTTCCACTTGGATTTACTCGCTAAGCGGGCAAAATTACCAGAATTCAAATTCCCAGTTGCTGCCGCCATGAACGATCGCTGTGTGAACTGCCAGGAGGCCCAGACGGAGTCCTTCAAGGACCATCGCACCCTGGATGGCTCCTTTTTCGACGGCCTGTGGCCGCTGATCCTGGATAATAACCGTTGTCGCATTATTGCCAGTAAACAGGAGGAGCATTTCGTGCCGCAGGAGCCGTTCCCACACTTAAAGTGGCACACATTCCTGGCCAATGTTGGCTATCCCGGTTACGATCCCACGCATGAGGTGCGCTGCTGTGCAAAGGAACAGGAGGAGGAGTGCCCGGCTGTTCAGGAGGTGGATGGTCAGAGCGATTACCAAGGCCGTGGTTCCAAGGCCATACTGCCCATCGACCGGCAGGTGGATCAATTGCGGATGCAGCAGGAGCGCCGCCAGAGATTGGCTTACCAGTTTGCCAACAGGCGCTTCCCCTGGACCATGCAGACGCCCAGCCACGAGCTGGGCTTCGTTTTAACCGAGGAGCTGAAGGAGAAATTCAAGGGCAATGCCATGGAGCTACAGATGCTGCAGGCCATACACGACCACGACTGCCACCTGATGATAATCGACCTAGGCACTGAGGTGGACATCCAGGACTGTAGCCGCTGGATCAAGTTCCGGCCCTACGTCCAGCTCCTGGCCCTGTGCCACAAGGCGAGCATGGAGCGCTCGGTGCAGCTGCTCGATGTCTTCCACACGCTCTGCGTGGAGGAGTCGGTGGAGAACTCCTGGCACGACGAGCTGCAGTCTTCCCTCCGCACAGGTCACAGTCACGCCGTCAAGACGCAGTTGCTCAGAGGGTGTGGCGAGTCGATAGTCTTTGTCTTCTCCCGCTACCGCGGCATCTGCACCTGCGACAACTTCAAGGTGATCCGGCGGACCTAGCACTGGCTTCGATAGCATATTTAATTTCATTTCGTTTGTATTTCGAGCAGAGGAGTTAGTTTAAATTAGAAAAGTGAAAAAAATTAAATAAATTGATGCTGTAAATCAATATTAAAATGCAATTTATTAGGGAGGATTCTTTAAAAACATTGAGTTGTATATCGAAAGGATATACCATATATGATATAAATACTTTCTTTCCCATTACGTTAACTTAAGACCTTAAGCCTAGTTCCGTTGCATTTCCCCATTCACTCTGCCTAATTTGACTCGATTCGATTTTCCTCACGTTGAAGTGGCGCTCCAATTAGGCCTGAGACGCACTGCCTCCTGCCACTAGCCACTTGGCGTCCGATTGTTGGCGCCACCTTCTTCCGACGTGGTGTCAAAGTGCCTCCTGCCTGCCAAAAACTTGAGCCCTCTCGCAAACAACAATTTCTTGGCCAAAATGTACGTGCAGCAGGAGAAAAGAAGCGAAAATTTCGCGCCAAATCTCAACAAATTATTACAAAGCTTAACAAACTTGGAACTGATTATAAAAGTTGAAGAAGAAGGCAGGCGGCGGGGAAATGGGAAATGGAAAATGGGAAACAGGCGGCCACAATGCAAAGAAAATTGAGTTGCGGGTGTCGCGAAGTTAGGGGCATTTGGCTCCTTATCTTTTTGTTTCCTTTTTTTGTATTTGGTAAAAAGTAAAAGTTTGCCTCACTTTCCATATAAACACATTCGCATAAGGCATCACCTTGCATTATATTATTAAAAGTTGTGTCGATAAGCAGACCTATAAAGTATTTCCCTAACTAAAAATCTAACTGAAACAAGAAAAGAAAATGTCTTAGGGAAACCGAAGCTCGTATACCCTTGAAGTCTGCGATGAATTCTTACCTTTTAGGTAAGATTCTTTAACATTTAGAGGCACTGCCAAGTAGGAGAAACAGTCAAGTCATTTACTTCAATGTTTCCACGCATCTTTGCTGAATTCAGCAGAATAATGTAATAATACTAATGATGTGAAAATACTATGTTAATATAATCAATGTAGTAGAATGTACTATTATTTGCTAGGCTGAAATTGAGAGATTTTACATTTAAAACAATTAGAAAAAACCAGTATTTACAATGTTCTCATCTAAGGAGCGTGGCTTAGCGTAGCGGGGATAAGCTGCAACATCGTGTTCGAAAGAGCGATCTCCGATGAGAAGAGAATGTGCTATCTATAAACCAGATTCTGGCCAGGCTGGGATTGCCAAACGCTTCCCCTGCCCGTTGATAAGCCAAGCGTTTTCTCTCGCGAGCAGCAGCCACCAGTTCACCTGGAACAGCGCGTGGGCAAAGCCCGGAATCTGTCAATGGGGCTGTTCCGCAATCTGGCGAGAGATCAGACGAGCGTCGAGCATCGAGCGGACTGCATTCCGGTCTCAGTTCTCGTTGGGCTTCCATCAGCATCGGTGCTAGACCGCGCAATGGCAATCCGTTCCCTGACCTTGCTCCTCGGCCTTTGTCTCCTCAGTGTGTTGTCGTCACTGGGGGCGGAGGCGTTGGAGGTGCCTGCGCACAACTGTGAGAGCTACTTCTCCTACTACCGCCGCGGCAACGGGGAATATTATGGACTCTTTACGGCCCCGCGAGCCGGAATCAATAGCTTTTCCTGGGAGGTCATGTTTACTGCCCACGGAACGGGTCAGGTGAGCGAAGAACGGGCCAGTTGGAAGTCTTACTCACTACTCAATGCTTTTCAGGCACACACTGTTAGCAGCCTGAAGCCATATCCCAGCAAGGATGAGGCCTTCGAGAACATACACAACGGGGAACGGGGCCAAGTGTTCGTAGACTTCCAGGACTTTGGCAACGAGCTGCCAAAGTTAACCCGACTGGAGCTCAACGACCAGTTGCTTTGCTCCAATTCAGAGTGTGAGTACTTGTAAGTAAATATGTAATTCCACGATCTATAGCATCTCTTTTACAGATGATGCTCCCTCGAGCACGATGACCCGACGCCAGTCCATGTCCACTACCTCGCCCATACGCCAGAAGTCGGAGCCAAGCCCAACGCGTTACCCCATAGTCCAGAAGTCAGCGCCAAGGACAACGCCATATCCTTCTTCGAATTCCTTCCTACCGTTTCCACCCAAGCCAAAACCGGAAATTACTCCCCACATCCACGAGTCCGACTACAGCGAATGCGGTATGGAGGGCTTTGCGGCGCAGCAGATTGGAGGCGACCTCGTCACCCGCGGACAATATCCCTGGATGGCAGCCCTCTACGAAGGCGGCGCCACGGCCACCTACAAGTGTGTGGTGTCCGTCATCTCCAAGCGAACGGTGATCACGGCGGCCCATTGTGTCTACGGCAAGTCCGCCAGCCAGCTGTGGGTTTACTTGGGGCGTCACGATCGCTTCCAGAACCCAGAGGACAACGCCGACTTGGTCGGTGTGTCCAGTGTGCTTACTCCGCCACAGTACAATGGCAATCCCCTACCGGACGCGGATGTGGGTCTGCTAGTGCTGAGGCAGGCGACGGAGTACACCAGGTACATTCAACCGCTCTGCATGTGGAGTTCCGGGATGAGGGTGCCGGCGAACGAGGGCGACACCGGATCGGTGGCCGGATGGGGATATGATGAGACCGGAGAGAAGACTCGCTTCCCGAAGGCAGTGAGTGTGCAGCTGGTGCCGCGGGACCAGTGCCTGAAAAAGATGAAGCGGGCCCAGGACTTCATCACGCGGAGGACGGTCTGTGCTGGGAACACACAGTCGCACGGTCCCTGCTTCGGTGACTCTGGAGCAGCGCTAATGGTCCTGCGGAATAATCGTTGGGTCCTCCGAGGAATAGTTTCCATATCGCCGAGCCGGGGAGGCAGCTGCGATCTCAGCCTTTATGTCATCTATTGCGATGTTTCCATGCATATCGATTGGATACAGCAGAATATGGTCTCTTAGGATCTATTCTTGGAACCAAGATAAGGAGGGGATGATGATTAAGGAGAGTAGAGCAACGAATTTATAATAAATATTCTTATCGGTTAATTGAACCCGTGGAATCTCTTGTCTCTGAAGTCAAACAAACTAGTTGAAGCTGCCCGGAGAATTTTCCCAATAAACGCGACTAGTTTCGAATACCGGATTTTTGCATAATTATTATGATTATTAATAGTCATGTATTACACGCTTTAATTACAATAATAAGATTTACTATACTCTATCAGTTTCGTATGGAAATTCTTTATTTAGCAACTAATTTTACCCTATTGGAACTTATGTTTATGCTTGTGATTAGTGTTCAATTGTCTAATGGGTTTTTCGCTGTTTAAAAATAACTCTCTCTCGCTGCTCTTTAATTCGCGAAACCCCAAGAGAATTCATCATGTATTTAATTAGCACGAGATATGTTTACAACTCATTGGGAATTTTTCACTCAAGAGCGAACTAGCTTATCAGTCTTTGAGTGGTTTTGGCTTCCAGGTTTTCCAAGATCGTGATCAAGTCTGGTAATTTGAATTCATACTGATATATATATCAGAGAGAATGAAGATGTTTTGATTTGTTTTGTTTATACAACGATTTCTTTATATTCTCGGTGGGGGGATTTTTATTTTCCACTCAAAGAAGCAGCTGAGCGGAATGCTTCCCATTAAATAAGGGGGTATATCAGGCTATATTCATACTTATATTTAAATAACTCTAAAGGTTCACAGTATTGAAATCAATAATTAACTTATGTTTAATTTTGTTTTTAAATATATTCTTTGATTAAAAGATAAAATGATTCAAGACGTTAATCTTTTTATTGCCGGAAAACTCTTTCAAATTAAATAAATAAAAACCAATTGATAACTGTTACGTATTTTGTATTTTTTTACTTGGTTCAATGAGTAGCTTCTCAGCTCCCAGTCTCCATTCAGAACTTCTATTTATTTTGCTGGAAGCCGTGTCTTATTGGCTCTGCACGATGCGGAATTTCCAGTTTGAGCGCTCAGTGAGTCAGACTCCGCCGCCTGTTGAGACTCTCTGTGTGGCTATCGAGCGGAAACCCTTGATGGTGGCTTCATTTCATCGTCGTTGCTCGTCGTGTGTGGATCCGAGATTCCGGAAAGGCATGTTAGTTCCGGAGTGGATACTATTGTTCGTCCCATTGATCGCCGTGGCCGGTGGCCAGCTGCTGCCGGAGAACGCCTGCCCGCAGTACTTCCAGTATGTGAACGATGCCTTCAGTGGCCTCCAGGGCGAGGTGACGCTGCCGGGCCTGACGCGGGGTCGCAACCGCATCGATCTGCGCCTCACGCAGCGGGGTGATCATGATGTACGACCTGGCCGCCGAACCAATCATCTGCCGTATGACCAACTGACCACTGACCCAACCACTTTGCCTCCCTGCTTCTCTGCGTTCCACAGGCCTCCACCGTGGGCGGTCTAAGCCCCTATCCGGATGAGAGCACAGCCCGGTCCGGCAACGGGCCTTCGCGATTCCGGCTCTACCTAAGACCGGACCCCACAACTGGCCTGCTGCCCAAGCTGTCGCGTCTCTCCTACAACGACCAGTTGCTCTGCTCGGCCAGCGAATGTGAGTACACACCCCAAAATAGCAACTTTGAGCGACATATGAATGGAACTTGAAATCTGTTTTATTTTGCTAGTTATTATTAGCTTTAAGATTCAATGGGACTTCTGCCATACATTTTCAGGAATACGTTTTATACGTTCTGTAAAAGAGTCTTCTATAGTTAAACAAAAGACAAGTAGTTGCAAACAATCAATCAATCAAATATTCAACTCTTTGGTTGTCTGAAATATCTCTTAAATAAATAAAAATAATAATGAAATTATTACGCTTAAGGGAGGCAATAATTTATCATAATTTTAAGCCAATATTAATGTTTTATAAATACACCCGCTTTGAATATTTTCGAGATCAATTTCAGATGGTCCGCCAAACAGTTTCTTCAATCGATTCTACGAGATTCAAATAAGTGGATCGCTGGCCCCGCTGCCCGCCAGTTCTTCGGGATTCATTCCGTTTCCCAGAGATGGCTTTGATGTGGATGTACAGAGCATATTCTACCCCTCCGGTGTTAGCAGTAGCAACGATGTCTGGTCCAGCTTCACTAGCAATAGAAGGCCACAAACGCAGGTGTTTTGGCAGACGCCAGTGAACATCATTCCACCTAGCAGGAGACCTGTCGTGACGGTTATTCCACCACCAGAACCTGTGCCCAGCATCCCCAGTGCTGCTCCACCGCCACCCACTGCTTCCACCACTGTTGCTCCTGCTGCCACACCTTCTGCTCCTCCTCCATCAGTTCGCTTCAATCCGCGATCGCCTTCGGAGCAGGAGATCTGTGGAGCGGAGGGCAGCACTACTCCGTTCATCCACAACGGCCAGGAGTTTCCCCGCGGCCGTTATCCCTGGCTGGCAGCCTTGTTCCACAAGACCCCAGCGCTGGAGTTTAAGTGCGGCGGTTCCCTGCTCTCGGCCAGCATCGTCATCACCGCCGCTCACTGTGTCCACAAGGTGTCCGAGACCCGGGTGGTCATTGGTCTGGGGCGCTATGATTTGCTGGACTACGCCGAGGATGGGGCTGAGATGCGGAATGTCCGCAAGATGGTCTGGCATCCAGAGTACAATACTCGGGTGCTATCCGATGCGGACATTGCTCTGGTCACAATGGTGCGGCCCGTGGTGTGAGTATATTTTACAATTTTAGTCAGAAGTATACAACGCAGTAAAGGAGTTATTTCCGACCCTTTAATTATATATATATATTTATATATTCTTGATCAGCATCAATAGCCAGATCGATTTAGTCATATTCAAGACTGCTGTTTAGCTTTTGGTTTATTAGATATTGTAAAATATTACGTATACGAAGTGTTGCCTTGATGTTGATGAGCATGTTTATTTAATCTTAAAAGGGAATTAAATTCAAATAAATTAGAAGAATTTTTTAAACCATTTAAACAATTTTTAAGACTTAAAATTAAAAGGCTTGCAAATAAAAGCCTTTTATTTAGAAAAATTACGTATACGAGGTGTTGCACATGCTTAACAACATAACTAATAATTAGCATGTAAATAAATAAATGAAATAGGTAACTTTCGAAGATTAAAAAGTGACTATTAAGTGACTTAGTAAATATATATGTATATATATTTATCTGGAAATTATAATCAATTAGCATAATATTTAAATTTGAGAAAACCTGCGACTAAACAGTGATAATTTATTACTCACCCAGAGCTTAAAAAATGCATTTTCAAGGTTCATTAATAACTTTAACAATAATCACATAATATCTCTGTAACAGGTTCAACGACATCATCGGACCCATTTGCCTGTGGACGGCGGAGGCGAGTGCCACGGTGGCCACTTCCGGTAGCATAGCCGGCTGGGGCACAGACGAGGCGGGCAACCTGCCCACCAAGTACCCCCGGGTTGTGGAGGCACGCATTGCCACCGCCACGGACTGTGCCAGCACGTGGCGAGCGACGGCGGTCACGGATCGCACATTGTGCGCCGGCAACATGGATGGATCTGGGCCATGTCTGGGTGACTCTGGCGGCGGACTGATGGTGCGCCGGGGCAGTCGCTGGATGCTGAGGGGTATCGTGTCCTCCGGTGAGCGGGATCCGGCCGGCTCCTGCAAACTGACCCAGTATGTGCTATACTGCGACCTGTCCAAGCACCTCGAGTGGATCAATGACAATATCAGATAGTCCGGATTGTACGCTCAAGCAATTAGATTAAATACACCCTCTCCCCTTTAACAAAAGCCACGACCCGTGCGTTCCATTGTATGGTGATTTCTGGTCAAACAGGTTTGCGACTCATACATTTCTTTACCAATTATTGCGCTAGGTTTGATGGATGATCCCTGAGTTTGGGCAACAAAAAATATTAACACTCTTATCACAGGTTGCCTGACCAGATATTGCAAAAAAGTTTGGAATACCCACCTGGAGTTTGTAAGAATTTATTGAATCAGTTTCTGTAAATAATTAAAGTCATCTCAATGATCAGATTTTGGGATCTGAAGTGCTCTACACTTAGTGCTTTACTGATTTCTTCCAGTAATTTAATTATTCTGTAAAGTAATTGCTTAAAATATAAAGGTAAATAGATTTTCTATTTCGTCACACTTAGCATTGATCTTTTATATATATTTACTTAACTACCAATTCATGTTATTTTTATACCCCTTCAGGGTATTTTCATTTCAGTCAGAAGTCATTTCCGACCCTATAAATTATATATATTCTTGATCAGAATCAACAGCCGAATCGATCTAGCTATGTCCGGACAAAATAAATTTTTTCTCAATTTTTTCAATATTTTATAAGGGGTTACATCGTTAAAATTGTCAAAAATGGATAAAAATCCTAATTTTTTTTTTATTTAAAATTGAGTATGCAGATTTAATATACTACTAAAAACTAGCTTAGGAGTGATTTCCAAATAAAAATTAATGACTTTTTGGCTTAGTTATGAGATTTTTAAATTTGATTTGTAAAACATATTTTCATATAAAACAAGAAAGGAAGCTAACTTCGGCACGCCGAAGTTTATATACCCTTGCAGATAGAACTTCTATGAATAGGAATCCATACAATATAAATTATATATACTTGTGTTAAAAAACAATGAAGTAATACCTGCTTTCATTTCATTCACCTATACATATTATATTTGCAGTTTTACATTCACAGATTTGCATTTTTCCTCTACATCAAACGATCGTTTGTATGGCACCTATATGATATAGTCGTCCGATTTTTATGAAATTTTCCACAAAATTTTAGACTTATATAAAATGGCTATACCTCAAATTTGATGAAAATCAGCTGAAAACTAAAAAAGTTATAAATTTAATTGTATTAATTTCTCGATCGTTCCTATGGGAGCTATATGATATAGTCGTCCAATTTTCATAAAATTTTACACAAAATTTTAGAATAATATGAAATGGCTATATTTCAAATTTGATTAAATTCTGTTGAAAACTAAAAATGTTATCGCCACCGCGATTGTCAGTCTTCCGACAACAGCCACTGCCATTCTCATTCCTATCAAATTTCTCGATCGTTCCTATGGGAGCTATATGATATATTAGTCCGATTTTCATAAAATTTTACACAAAATTGTAGAATAATATGAAACGGCTATATCTCAAATTTGATGAAAATCTGTTGAAAACTGAAAATGTTATACTTTTTAATTGAATTAATTTCTCGATCGTTCCAATGGGAGCTATATGATATAGTCGTCCGATTTTCATAAAATTTTACACAAAATTGTAGAATAATATGAAATGGCTATATCTCAAATTTGATCAAATTCTGTTGAAAACTAAAAATTGTATAATTTTTTTTGTAAAACTTTTCCGATCATTCCTATGACAGCTATATGATATAGTCGTCCGATCCGGCCCGTTCCGACATATATACGAGTGAGAGTATATAGAAGACTAATTGCAAAGTTTCATTCAGATAGCTCCAAAACTGAGAGACTAGTTTGCGTAGAAACGGACAGACGGACAGACGGACATGGTTAGATCGACTCGGCTGTTGATCCTGATCAAGAATATATATACTTTATATAGTCGGAGGTGCCTCCTTCACTGCGTTGCAAACTTCTGACTGAAATTATAATACCCTGCAAGGGTATAAATATAGATAAATATTGGGTCAAAGAATAGGATTTTAGTTATAGGCAGAAGCCTAGAGCGATGTGAAGGAGTCATTTCCGACCCTATAAATCATATATATTCTTGATCAGCATTAAAAACTGAATCAATCTAGCCGTGTTTGGAAGAAAATAATTTTTTTCATTTTTTGAAAATTTTATAAGGGGTTACATCGTTAAAATTGCCAAAAATTGGCAACATTTTTAATATTCTAAAATTGTATTTGCAGTATGCAGAATTATTAACCTAAAAAAAATTAACATTGGAAGAGTTTCCGAATCAAGTTTAATGCATTTTTGGATAAGTTATGATATTTTAAAACTTTGATTTGTCTTAATAATTGTCATTTAAAAAACCAATTCAAAGAAATTAAATAATTTAATCATTGTAATGAACAAAACAATAAGTGAGCATTGACCACGTGCTAGCAGCCCACTGAACGTCATCACCTGAATCAATATTTGCGGGAAGCAATATTTATAATTCCAAATATTTACAAATAATCGATCTTTCAACGTGTGTCATTTTATAGACTAAATCCATATAAAGATTAGTACGTTTCCGAACCTCTTAGGAGGTGGTTGGAACGATGCAGCGGAGCTTGTGGCTGCTCCTGCTCCTAGCTCTAGGCGGGACCAATGCCAAGGAGCCCAAGAACATCCGATACGAAACGGGAAACCAGGGAACTGCAGGAATAGAACCGGAAGGAGAATCGGAACCCCTAAGCGACAGTGGTTATCTGATAATCCAACCAACCAGCGACCTACAGAACCAGAATGCCAAAACGATTACCGAATTTCGGGAGAAGCTCGACAACGCTGTGGGGGGAATCCTTTCTGATTTGCCTGATACCTCCAAGAAAAAGAGAAGGCAAGCCCTGCAGGAAGCACTAAACACCTTGACTGGTCTGAGTCTGGCTCTGCCCAAGCTGGAAGCAAGCCTCAGTGACATCGGGCAGCAGCAGAAGGTGATTGTCCGGCTCTTCAGGCACCAGGAGGAGTGGCGCTTCTGGGCAGCGGATCAAGTGCGAAAGGTGATGGAGTCCACGGAAGGACTCCGCACAGCGGAAGCTGTTACCGTCACCGAAGAGGTAAACAATCGCTACAGCACCCGACTGAGAGGCTGTGCCGGTGACTTCATTTGGCTCCAGATCCGTTTTAACCTGGATCTGGCCAAGACCCTCGACAGTTTGCATAGTCCGACGGATCAGTTGATTGAGGCCAGCGGGAGATGTTCCAGGATCAGAGCCAAACAGTGCCACAAGGCGGTGAGAGATGCCGCCGGAGAACTTCAGCTAGCTCCACAGGATCTGAATGATCGCTGGTCTGCATCCGATCAGCTAAAGGAAAGCCAGTCCACAGCCGTTCGCTGCATGGAGCAGGCCTTGGAGGAGTACACGGAAGAGCGTCTGCTTACGGAGACCTCGTTGCAACCCATGGGGATGCTCTCGCGATAGTCCTGGATAACAGACTATCGCGAGAGCATCCCCATGGGCTAAGGGATACATATAGGGGACGCACCAAGCACATATGCAGGACATAGAAAGCACCAATTATATAGCACATAATAAGGACATTCAGAGCACCTATAGGCAAGCACATAAGCAGGACAGTTGTGACACAAAATGTAGGCTAAGACAGCATAATAAAACCCGCATTAATAGTGCAGTTTTCCATTTGTTTTCATAGTTTTTTAATTCCAAATAACTAAGAGCTGAGATGCGCAGAGAAGATGCAGCCAAAGCAGAATTTACTCAACGCCCTGCCATTTTGCTTATTAGAATGCAAATGATCAAACAAGACAAAATCCCCATGAGATGTTTTCATAACGGAGTGCTGAAAACATGGAAATACTTTTATAGTCGCTCTCAAAACCCCCTATTAGAGATTAGTTCCGATTTCCACCCCTGAAAACCGACTTGGATCGGATTCTGGCTTGGATCATTCGCGACTCGACGTGCATTGAGCGAGGTTCTCAATCGCGATTGTAAAATACTATTAATATAGTTTTGAAAAACGCACAACCCACTCAGTTGCAATGCGGCGGCCTCAGCTGTTGGTGGTGACTGCTCTACCCGTGTTCCTCACGTTTTTCCTGGTCTCTCCGACCCTGGGTCAGTTGCCTCCGAATGGCTGCTTCCCGGTGTTTCAGTACCAGGGCTATCGGGGTCAGTACATTGGTCTGGTCTCCCTGCGTCTCGATCCGCAGCTATTGAATCATGTTCTCCATCTGGAGTTCTCGCAGCAAGGATTTCATGACTTTGTAAGTTATTTCTTTGTGGTTGGGAAATCCTCCATCGGATCAGATAGTGAGCGAGCGAGCTTTAGTCTTATCAGCTTGCGGTTGTGATTTTTCCCGCAGTTAAAATAGTAAACAAAGGTGTGCGCAGACAAGTATCAGCAAAAGAGAGAGAGAGAGCTTTGAGGTCTCTAAGCATTAATTTTTAATCAATGTAATTGACAGCATCTCTCATGAATAATGAAAAACTATTCTTCTTTCAGTCCGCCAATGTAGGAAATATTGTGCTGGTGGATGGTGAGGATAGGACCGTGGCTAATGTGCAACAGAACCAGCCGGTGGTCTACCGCGTGGACTTTCCACTTTCGGATTCGCCGCCCAAGATCACCAACATTCAAATTAATGGCGAAGATATTTGCAGTGCTTCACAGTGTAAGTAGAAGCAATGTTCCTTGTCATTTTCTGATTGGAGTGCTTATCTTGCAGACTCCAAGCCAAGAACGGGCATTACCCTGGTTCACACGTTGACCTTGCCGACCATAATTGGTAGCATTGGTCGTAATTGGGACAACCCGATTAGGAACCCCATCAGAACCCCCACGAGGCAACCGTCTGTTATTACTACTGCTGGTGACTGGGAAGAGAGCTTTCCGACAAGGACCCCGATCAGGACGCCTATCAGGACTCCAAATAGAAGCCCGAACAGAATTCCTAATGTGTCCAACGTATCCGAGACCTACTTTGAGCGAAACGATACCCTTTTGGGACCTTTTGAGGACCAACCGAATTTGGGCAGCCCGCCCAGGCCCAATCAGCCAGCGGCTCCACTTCCAGCCAGAGAGTTCAACCGGGCAAGACATCAGAGCAGGCAGCCAGCGGAAAGCCCGCCCCAAGTTAATAACCGAGAGACCCTGGTCTCGCAGCAGGCACCATCCAACAGCGCGTCCATCCAGTGCGGCCGAGAGCGGGCCACCACCACGCCGCTAATCTTCCAGGGAACGCGTCTGCAGCGGGGGCAGATTCCATGGCTGGTGGGCATTTTCGAGCGGCGGGAGAGCAACGGACCGATCTTCTTTTGCGGCGGCTCCCTCATCGGTGCCTCCACGGTTCTCACGGCGGCCCACTGCTTCCGGATACCGGGCTTCCGGGATTTGCCCGCCAGCCGCACGGCCGTCTCGCTTGGACGGAATAGCCTGGACCTGCTCTCGGCTGGCGAGTTCCGTAGCGTTTCCCAGCTGCTAATCCACGACAAGTACCAGTACGAGCAGTACACGGAGGCAGATCTCGCCCTGGTCAGACTGGAGACACCTGTGCCGTGAGTTTTTCCCTGAGCAAGTAGCTCAGTCAGATCATCCTAATAGCTGCCTAATCCTTTGCAGCCTCAACGACTATATTGTACCCATCTGCCTGTGGAGCACCGCAAACAGAATGGACTTGCCGCAGGGCGAGAAGACTTACGTGGCGGGATGGGGTCCGGACGAGTCTGGCACAGGGAACTCGGATGTTGCAAAGCTGGCCGACATGAATATTGTGTCCGAGGCCAATTGCCACCGGCAGCTGCCACCCGGTCCCCTGTTCCAGCCGAGCACGCTCTGCGCCCAGAAGGCGGGCACCGGACCCTGCAGCACCGACGGCGGCGGACCCCTGATGCTCCGCGAGGGTGGCGTTTTCATCCTGCGCGGCGTCATCGCCGGTGGAGCGCTCGACCAGGAGAGGAACACCTGCGACCTGTCCAGGCCCTCTGTCTTCACGGATGTGGCCAAGCACATAGATTGGGTACGTCGGAACATGTGGAACTGAGTCTGGAGTCTGGAGTCTGGAGTGGAAATGGGATTGAAAAATCCCACCTCTGAGTTGTAGAATTGCGCCGTGGGTAATTTCAAGTTGTTTCATTAATCATTGATAGGGAATAAAGATGACAATCACTACATGCACTTGACTAAGTTTTATTTGTGTTATAATTTAATAATTTTCTTAATGATACATTTTTGAATATTCAAGAATTGCAATTCTAAAATGGGATTTTATTTAATTCGTTTTGAATTACAAGAGAGGGGAGAGCAATCTCAAGTAGGTTTGTAATCGAGTTACAGGCTTACTTGTAATCAGGTTCGGAGAGCCTAGCAGAGCTTTGCTTCGACGAGATTGAAAATTAATATTTATTAACTAAATCATTCATAGCTCGACTATCGCCGAGTGCGGTCTCTGTGTGGGGAATATTCATCCAAGTGCATCGTTACTATTTATTGAACAAATATCAAATATCTATCCGCGCACCATGGGCTGCAATCTCTGCTTTCTGGTCACTCTCATTCTTGTGTTCGGTTATAGTTTCGGCCAAGAGCTGCCTCCTGTGGCCTGTCCTGATAACTTTGCCTATCTAAAACTCGGCGATCGGTATGTGGGACAGGTGTCCGTAGTCCTGAATGGATCCTATACAGAAAACAATCTGAAAGTCGAGCTCACCGTGCGGGGTGTGAGTGCTCTGGTAAGATTTTTACCCATCTGGTTTGCAGCCTCGGATTTTAAATGAAATGTTTTAACTGAATCGTCTTGATTCATAGAAAAACGTGGGAGAAATCCAGGTATCGGACAGCGGAGTCACCGTGAGAGATAAACTAATAAAAAATGAGAAAATCAATTTCCAAATGGACATGTCCTCCAAGGACGTGCTGCCCAAGGTGCAGAGGATCATTGTCAACGGAGAAACCATTTGCCAAGATGTCCCGTGTAAGTAATGCAATATCTATTGGGTTTTTTCTTTTTTTTTGAAAATAAATAAGTATTTGTGAGGGATGAGTTATTTACTAAAATATTTAACCTTTGCAGATGAACCACCTTTCACATTGTTTACCAGAACAATGAACTTCTATACAAAAAGTCCGATTCTGGCCAAGGACAAGGGAGAGGACATCTTGGGTACTAATTAGCAAACAAAATAGTACGACCCAGACGGAATATAAATAAGAAATAAATAGTAACTTTATCAACACTTAAGTGGGGAATTTGTGGCACCAACTAGGCTAAGGCCTAAAAATATATATTGTTTTTAATTTGTTTTTTTTTTTACTTAAATCCCGGATGTGATAATTTTGAGACTTGTGAGTTCTCTGGGAGATCATTCAAAAAGTCATTCCTGATTCCTGGGAAACTGGGAAAGTATGTAAGCTCAATAAGGACTCTTTGCTGACACCTCATGGGAAGATCCAAGCCCTAAACCGGAAACTCTGAACTGGTTACTGCCCCTTTGAATAATTCCAGGTGGTTTCATTAATCATTGAGAGAAATAAAGAAGAGAATCACTTATTATATGCATAGGCAAGCTTAGTTGTATAGTGATTGTTTTGAATCAAAACTGAAGAGCCGAGTTACTAGTTCAGCTTAAATCAGGTTCAGAGAACGAACTCGACTAGATCGGCAATTAATTGACTTCAACCCAAGTAAGTCATTCATTGTTCGACTCTTGCCGGGTGCGGTTTTTCTGGAGAAAAACACACGCTTTTGCATCGCAATTTGTTGTTACTTTCCAATAAATATTCATGGGCTGTGCAAGCGCCATGTGCCACCATCTCTGCTTCCTGGTCGCTCTCATTCTGTCATTCTGCTACGGTTTTGCCCAAGACCTGCCACCTGTGGCCTGCCCAGGTAACTTTAAATACCTGGAGAGAAACGATCGAATCGTGGGGCAGGTGTCCGTGGTCCTAGATGCCTCCAAAGCGAATCTCGTGCAGGTCGAGCTCTCCCAGCCGGATGTAACCGCCGAGGTAAGACATCCCCCGGTTCTCTCTTATAAATCTCTGTTGAGATATCTTCTTTTTCCTTTAGGGTGACCCGGGCGAAATTAAATTATTGGGCAGCGATGCCTCTGTGAGGCACAAGCTGCAGAACAATGAGAAAATCAACTTTCTGATCAAATTTCCCTTGCCGAACGTGGTGCCCAAGCTCACAAGGATTATCGTCAACTCGGAAACCATTTGCCAGGCTTTACCGTGTGAGAAGAAACCTGGGATCAAGCAAGATTACTAAGTTGAGAAACTCGGTTTAATAATGAATGCATTTATTTTTAGATGATCCACCTAGTCTACAAATCTTCTTGGCGCATACGGTGAGCACAATCATTCCGCTAGCCGCTCAACCCTTTCCAATGCCCCAGGCGATACCAACCTTTGATGGTCCTCGGCTGCTCCCGGCTGTCACTCCGCGCCCTCAGCTGCCGCCTCTCCAGATGCCGCCTCCCCAACTGCCGCCTCCCCAACTGCCGCCTCCTCAGCACCTGCCACAGCCAACTCAGTCGGTGACACCAACCAACCCTCCACCGATCCGTCGGATAAATGACGCTCCCCAAACCCTCGGGCAGCTTAACACGGTCTGCGGAAGGGAAAAGCCCATTCAGACGGCTTTTATCCACTTTGGCGATGTGGTGCAGCGAGGTCAGTTCCCCTGGATGGTGGCTCTGCTGGAGCGCATCGGGAATGAGTATAGCTTCACCTGCGGCGGCACCCTGATCTCCGCCAGAACGGTGATCTCGGCGGCACATTGCTTCCGCTTTGGAAGCAAGAGTCTGTCAGCAGCACGCACCGTGGTCTCACTGGGTCGCAATAGCCTGGACATATTCTCGCCCGGTGACTTGCAGGGAGTGTCTCTGCTGGTGCTCCATGAACACTACGATGTCAATACAATCACTGACGCGGACTTGGCACTGCTGCAGCTGACTAACCAAGTTCAGTAAGTGTCTCCAAGCGTCTTGGGAAGTATCAAATTACGACTCGATCTCCATTGATTTCCTTACTAGCAGCTGAAAACATGCAATGCCTTTTCAGATTTACCGATTTCGTCAAGCCCATCTGTTTGTGGAACGAAAACTACCTGCTGGACCTGCCCTCCGGCCACAAATCGTACGTTGCAGGCTGGGGCGAGGACGAGCACGGAAACAAGAATACGCGGCTGGCCAAGATGACGAGCACGGACATCATCACGCAGACGGAGTGCCGGGGCAACCTCACCTTCGAGAATGTGCGATATGTCACCTCGAACACCATCTGCGCCAGCAACGCGAAGGCGTCGGGTCCTTGCAGCGGCGACTCCGGCGGAGGCCTAATGCTGGAGGAGCAGGACATCTGGATGCTGCGCGGAGTGGTCTCCTCTGGACAGAGGACGAGCAAGGGTTGCGACCTGACCAAGCCAGTCATATACACGGATGTGGCGAGGCACATTGACTGGCTGCTTAGGACCATGTGGTTCTGAGGGATCACTAGAATATTGTGCCAAAATAAATTGTGGAGATGGGATTGATATGGAAACTAGATTAAAATGCGTTTACTTAATAAGTATATTTTATCGTTAGTGTTTGATATTACAAGGACTCTTCTTGGTGATAAGAAATTACTTTACAAATAGTATATTCCATTGAGTACCTCAGTTCTGGATTCAAAATGAGTCGGAAGCCGACTAGACCTACCTCCCTCCCTCCCTCCGACTTAGTGAATGCTTGTAATCGAGTAACTAGCTCCGATCAGGTTGGGAGAGCCAGCCACGAGCTTTGTTTCGCCGCGAACAGCGACTATTCAGCCAAATCGGAAACTAATTGGCATTGGCTAATCATTCATCGCTCGACTCTCGGCGTGTGCGGTTTGTGGGAGCTCTCGTCACTCGACTGCATCGCATTTCTAATTTATATTTAAATATAGTTGTTTAATAGATATTATTTAACACCATGTGCAACCGCGATCGCGTTCTCTGCCTCCTGATCCTCGCCCTTACCCTGCAGAGCTGCTCGGTCTTTGGCCAAAATCTGCCCCACATCGCCTGTCCGGACATTTTCCAGTACCTCGAGTACAGAGGCCAATACATTGGACACATCCAGGTGGTTCTGGACTCCTCCTCCGTGGAAAACGTCGTGAAAGTGGAGTTCTCCCAGCGAGGGAGGCCCCCGGTAAGGCATCACAGATCGAATCTTTGTTATGTCAGCGAGCGTTATCAAGCATTGACCTCACTCTCAGATTGGAAACGAGATTTCCCGTGTCGACCAGGGCTTGTGAATAGCTTTCCATGGGAATTGCATTGCTGATAATAGAAATCGTGGCCTGGGGGAAACCCCTTCTCCGCACTCGCAAATCGCAATATACTTCCTCAGTTCTCCGTTCTCAGTTCTCACTTCGCTGTGCTCAGTTCTCCCCAAGATTTCCCCAAAGTTGCGGGACCGGTTTGGAGCCCCAGCTCAGCTGCGACACTAGTATTGTTATTATTTCTCTGGCAGAGCTGCGGGTTTACCAGTTGAGCTATGTTTACGTATTTTATAGTGTCGCGGTATCTGCCCCATGACGTCGATCGGAATTATTAATCGCCTTTGACTTTGGCTTCGGCATCGAGTCATCCATCGCTTGACCTGCCCACTGACGAGAGTATCTGCATATTTGCTATTTCCAGACCTATTCGGGAGAGATCAACTTCTTGGAGAACGAGGAGTCCCTCAGGTATCGCCTGAGGAACGGTGAGCTCATCAACTTCCGGGTTGACTTCCCCACTCCGGGCGTGGTGCCCAAGCTGATAAAGGTCGATGTCAATGGAGAAACTCTATGTCAGGCTGATCAGTGTAAGTAAACTATAGAGTATATACTCAGGAAACTGTACAAAACTATGGCAAAAATATCCTACTCAGTTTTGTAAGCAAAGTATCGTATAATTCTAGGGATATTTTCACAGTTCAGTTAACACTCTTCTGGTAAATAAACAGACAATTTTATACAAAGCATATAGTTTAACAATTAACAGAATCGATATTTACCGATTTGTTTATATGATAATTTATTAGTTGAATCCAGATACCAAAATGTTGAAAAAGAACAAGGCTATAGCTGTTCCTATATACCAAAGAAAACATAATTGTAATTCCCTTGCCGGGTATTTTCAATTTAGTCAGATCCTTGTAACGATGTGAAGGAGTCATTTCCGACCCTATAAAGCATATATATTCATGATCAGCATTAACAGCCGAGTCGAACTAGCTATGTCCGGACAAAATTGATTTTTTTCAAAATTTGAAAATTTTATAAGGGGTTACATCATTGAAATTGTCAAAAATCGATAAAAATTCTAATTTTTGTAAATTTCTAATATGCAGATTCTAGTATGCAGATTTATTAAACTGCTAAAAACTAACATAAGAGTGATTTCCGAATTAAAATTAATGCTCATTTGGCTTAGTTATGAGATTTTTGTTTGATTTGTTGGTCATATTTTCATATAAAAATATAGATAAATATTCGTTCAAAAAAAGGCATTATTAATAATTAATTAATGCCCCAAGCCTAGAACAATGTGAAGGAGTCATTTCCGACCCTATAAAGCATATATATTCATGATCAGCATTAACAGCCGAGTCGATCTAGCTATGTCCGGACAAAATGTATTTTCTTTTTTCAAAAATTTTGAATATTTGATAATTCGTTAAAATTGTCAACAACTGATAAAAATCCTCTTTTCTTTTAATATAAAATTTAGTATGCAGATTTATTAAACTACTAAATACTAACATAATAGTGGTTTCCGAATTAAAATAAATAAATTTTTGGCTTACTTATGCATTTTTTTAATCTTTAATTTGACCCTATAATTTAATTGCCAGTTGCAAGGGTGTATAAACTTCGGCCTAGAACATATCTCTTAAGTTATTATTTATTAATAATTTATTCCTTTGCAGACTTTCCACCCAGCGTTAAGTTATTTTTGTCCCGCACCTTGCGAACGACAGTTCCGCTATCGGCTCAGCCCCAGAGGATTCCATTCACTCCGAGACCCCCGATTATGCGTGATCCTGAGTCAGCACCGCGCCCGCAACCACTGCCCCAAAGACCCCAGCAGGTCCAGAGTCCTGTACAAAACCCACCGCAGCCACGTCCCCAGCCACTGCCGCAGCCACTGCCACAGCCAACACAATCGGCGACACCAACCAACCCACCTCCGATCCGTCGGATAAATGACGCTCCCCAAACCCTCGGCCAGCTTAACACGGTCTGCGGTCGGGAAAAGCCCATCCAAACGGCCTTTATCCACTTTGGCGAAGTGGTGCAGCGGGGTCAGTTCCCCTGGATGGTGGCCCTGTTAGAGCGCATCGGGAATGAGTATAGCTTCACCTGCGGCGGCACCCTAATCTCCGCCAGAACGGTGATCTCGGCGGCACATTGCTTCCGCTTTGGAAGCAAGAGTCTGTCAGCAGCACGCACCGTGGTCTCACTTGGTCGCAATAGCCTGGACATATTCTCACCTGGTGACTTGCAGGGAGTGTCTCAGCTGGTGCTGCACCATCAATACGATGTCAATACCTTTACGGACGCGGACTTGGCGCTGCTGCAGCTGACTAACCAAGTTCAGTAAGTTTGTAGTATTTCTCCTTTAAGGATACCCAATTAGCATCTGCTAAAAATACTACATTTCTTTTTAGATTTTCCGATTTTGTCAAGCCCATCTGTCTGTGGAACGAAAACTATCTGCTAGACCTGCCCTCCGGCCACAAATCGTACGTTGCAGGCTGGGGCGAGGACGAGCACGGAAACAAGAATACGCGGCTGGCCAAGATGACGAGCACGGACATCATCACGCAGACGGAGTGCCGGGGCAACCTCACCTTCGAGAATGTGCGATATGTCACCTCGAACACCATCTGCGCCAGCAATGCGAAGGCGTCGGGTCCTTGCAGCGGCGACTCCGGCGGAGGTCTGATGCTGGAGGAGCAGGACATATGGATGCTGCGCGGAGTGGTTTCCTCTGGACAGAGGACGAGCAAGGGTTGTGACCTGACCAAGCCCGTGATCTACACGGATGTGGCCAAGCACATCGACTGGCTGCTTAGGACCATGTGGTTTTGATGGTTTACCTGATAGATAAATAGAAAACTGTGCCAAAATAAACGATAGCGTATACCAAATTTTTATTAATTTAGTTAAAAGTTTAATATAAGTTTTGGATATAAACAAATTTAGTTCAGTTTTTCCTTTTTAAACAACTACCCCGAATACTTTTTTTTCCATGAAAGATGAACTTGCATTTTGTCAGTTGGTACTGATCTAGAATATATATATGTATGTGCAATATAAGTTGAGTTGATCGAAATGATTTTACCCTTCTATGTCCAGGGTATCACAGCTGAAATACTCAATCCGACTGCAGCTTTCAGCAGCAATTTGTCAAAGCAATTGCATTTAATTTACATATAGTTGAGGCAGTCGTCTGTTTCTCAGCAGCTATTAATGCACTAGAAAAAAAATATATATTTTCAAGCATCCATATTATGTGCAAAGGTTAATTTTTATACCCATTCAGGGTATTTTAATTTTATTTAATTGAAGAATAAAGAAAATCTAATATTCCAATTTTATATTTTTAACATTTGAGATAAATTTCGATATACTGCTCTCCATATTTGACAAAAAATCAAGATTTGTTCTCAATGTTGAAGACCTAGCGTTTAAAGTCGCACAGAAAACGCCCGCTAGCCGCTGCAGAAACGCGTTAATGGAACAACAGGTGCTTGCCGCTCATTCCGGCTCTCTGGCGCTCTCCAAGATGCGCCGCGCATGTATTCCGCCTGCTATACTCCACATCCTGTTGAATAGATGCTCGGCTCCGGCTATGGCCACGGGTACGGGTCCGGGTCCGGATACGGCTTGCTCCACGAATGGTTTGCGGACCGACGGCACTCGTGCGTGTCGGGACAGTCAACGTTCAGCCTTCAGTTCGCACGGTTCGGCAAGCGGCGGCAGCAACTGGGCAACTCTTAGAGCCAGAAGCCATCAGTTAGTCACGGGCTTGGAGTCCACCCGCTGTTAACCCAGTCCGAGAGTGTCCGGTGTGCCGATCGAGAGTTCTCGCCAAGAACGAACGAGCGTGCGTCCATGAGTGAGTGCGTGAGTGCGTGAATACGAAAAACCAGGAAGATTCCAAAGTCCAAAGAAACCAGTGACTTGGCCAGTTTGATGGCTGGACATGACTTTGGCTCGGGAGGAAGCGAGTCGTCCTCGAGTCCCAGGGAGACACTCCCCCAGTCTATTAGCGGAATGCTAATTCTCCGTCGCTGAGAGTCGCATACATCGCACAGGCAGCACAGTCCAACGGGCAACTAGACCCATCCTAGCACCCAGCACCTCCTTTCGACCAGGAATCCCCAACCCAACCTTACCTACCCATCCCTCTTCCTAATGACGAACGCAATGAGGGCGATAGCTGCCCTTGCCCTGACCGCCGCCAGTGCGGGAGTGGTGTCGGTGGTGGCCAGTCCACTCCTCGGCGGCAGCAATTCCTCCAGCCCGAACATATCCAACAGCAGTAGCAGCAGTAGCATAGGGATCGGCAGCGGAAACGGGTCAGGAGACGGAAGCCACCGCAATGGTGGCAACAGTAGCAGCCTCTTCTCCGTGCCCTCCAACTCCTCGCTGCTGGACGCCGATCACCTGCCGCTGCAGCTGACCACCGCCAAAGTGGACAACCTGGACATTGAAATCGACATCCAACTGCTGACGAATGGCTATGATGGCACAACGGTGAGTGGATGAGGACCTGGCGGGTCGATTGTATTTATGTGGCTGCCATCGAGGCAGCCACATTCATTGGGCTTTGGCTTTGGCTTTATGTCCGAGGCGCAGCTCGTAAAATACTTTGCACTGGAGGAAAATGTGTAAAAATGAATATGGAATATATAAATGAATAAAATGCATATAAATAGTTAATTGAGGTATTGCATAAATATTTACTTTTTGCCTATTTTATTCTGAACAAAAATGGAAGAAAGAAACATCACTATTTTGATATCTCTTTAAAGCATAATGCTTATTCAGCACAGATTTAATTGGTTTATCTGCCGAGTTTCTGTATACTTCCTAAGGCTACTTATTTCACTTCAATCATGGGTATTACTTCCTTTAAAGTAACTTAACTTGGTATAATAAAATAAATTATAATTCATACCTTCAGTCACCTATTACTGTCAGTTTCGTTTGCATTTCACACTACAGGATATTTTTTCATGTCTCTCACTGCCAATACGATTCAGGACATCGTTTTTTTCTGTGTGACTTCAGGTAGACATTTCGCTGGCACTATAATTTACAATGTCTCTGCCTCCGATCGGGTAATAACGATGGCTTGGCCCGGCCTTTATGAACATGCCATTTTTATTACGTGATGGCATATTTCCCGAACATTGTCGTGCTGGCTCCGCTGGTTTATGGGGCGTATACGCAATCCAGCGTCAGATTGTGCCTAATGAATTGTCAAGACAAAGCCAGGCAAAGACAAAAGGCAAAGGGCTGAGCCAGCTGCCTGCCATCATGATCTATTAAAGTCAAAGCGATGGCTCTAAAACATTCCCGGAGCTGGGTTGGGACACGAGGTGATTAACACACACAATTATCACGCAACACACTCGCATTTATATTATTCAATACAAAGTTTAAATTATAACAAAAGGCTGGCTGTCAGTTTGTTCGGCAAAGTTTCCTACGCTGGCTGGCTTTCCTTTTAATTTATTTCCAGCTGGTAAATGAAAATGAATGTGAGCCTCATTAGCAGGCAGCCAGCCACATGGAGAAAGTTTCATAGAACTCTCACGCGCCACGCACCTTCATCGATGCATAATCCAGTTTTCAAAACCGTCCTGCCAGGCAACTCCAGCGTCAAGGATGTATACCAAAAAACCAAAAGTTTATCCCTTTTTTCACATCCTCATTTTTACTTTTTGTTGTATTTTTTTTTTTGGAAGAGAACGAGCAATTCACGTGCTTGGTGTGGCGGCAGCAAAGGATATGAGGATACTCGTGCTCGTGTGTGTGGTGGGGATGAGATATAGATCTAAATACTTGTTGTGCGGGTGAGTGTGTGTGTGTGTGAGTATGTGTGTGTGTGAGTATGTGTGTGTGTTTGAACGACAAAGTTGTGCTCATCTGTTCGCACGTTTAACTTTCAATCGAATGTAAATAATGAGTATCACGTAAGTTGGCAAACGAGAAGGATAAAGAGTAGGGGCAACCGACATTTATCGCAGGATCACGTTGTCAACATGTTTATGCTCCGCACATTTTCCGCATAAATAGATTTTCAACTAATTTATAAACAGTTGAGCGACGGCATTTACTCTGATTTATCCCATCCCCCCAGCTCACTCTAACGTAATTGGGTCAATTCGAAAAACCTTCCTAATCTATCAAACTTGGCTAATTGCCAGTTGAACATGAGGCAGGAATTAAAATGGGTCTAAAGGTTGTATAAAATTATATATATAATATATAATATACTGTATATATTGCTATTATATCACACATACAAGTGGTTACAAATCACAATAATTTATATACATTTCTTTTGATATAGAAACCAAAAAGAATCTTTTTAAAAGTCTTAAACTAATACCAATTTAAATTTCAATACATAAATAAGAGTTTCTTAGCGTTTTGTATTATTATTTTTCTTAAGTAGGGACTGTTTGTGCTATGCAGGTATATCTAGGCAAATATCCTATATAATAAATCCATACAAACATTGCGATTATGGAAAATATAGAATGCTGGAAGAATATTGGATAAATTTTTAAATTATCGTCGTATCAGCATACCTGGACTGACGTTTAAAAGTAAATTTCATTTAGAATTCTTAAACTAAAAGCGGATATTTACAACAAATCGTGTTTCCTAAAGGAACCTTTATTATTGTTGACTCATAATTTATAAGCGTTTCCTAATAAACATATGCATTGACTTAATATTGGCTTAAGACTTATGTAGATCTGATCCAAGTCTATTTTCTCCTAAAGCCACTTAGTTGATGCAGACAACTTGAGACGGGGGCTCAATTGATGTGAGCGAACCGCAAGTTGACACTGACACTTGTCCTCGGTCTTGTGTGTGTGTGTGTGTGTGTGTGTGGCAGCAGCAAATTATTTTTCGGGGGATGGGGATGTGGAAGAATGACACCCCCATTCTTTCTCCCGCCGTCCCCTAAATTTGCATAATGCATCACGCATACGCCGGGTTGTGCAATCTAATTGAATTATTAATCTGCACTCGACAAATCTTGCACGGAAAATGTGCATGCATAAAAAAAAGTTCGGGGGGTTTATGTTCGTACTTAGTTTTTTTTTTGCGGCTAGAGTGAGAGAGAGATCCATTGTGTTTTCACGTTCTTGGATGGAATTCCGCATTTTCTATTGCCCCGTAAGCCGTGGCATGGAAAAACTTTGCCATTGTTCGCAGACTTTGCATAGCAATAATAATAAAATATTAATAGCATTATTTGTTATTGCTGCGTATTGCGGACTATGGGATTGCGCTTTCCATTCAGCAAATCGCTTCTATTGTTGTTCCGTCGCACACACACACGCACACGCCCTTGGCCAGATATCCTTTTGGAATTTGCGCAAATTTCCGCCAGCAATTTGTCCAAATCAGTGGCCAGCGAAGGGCGTAACAGGGCGCGGCCCGATAGCTATCGATAGCGACCAATTGAAATCGCGCCTATCAGGCCAAATGTAATGGTTTGCGGTGGCGGTGGCGATGACCGAGGGGGAGGAAGGGGCATTAAGCCAAACAATTCATTTGAGTGAAATCAAAGCCATTTCTCAGTCTCTGCCCCACGGTGGGAACACTGATATGTTCATATATGCAACAGTTCAATGGCTAACTTTGTTTCACAAGTATTTGTACACGAAGAAATCAAGTTCTTGGGATGCATATATCCCTAAATAATACAAAACAAGTAAACAATTTTGTGGAAAAGTTTGTTTTAAAAGTATTTGACCACAGAGAAACAAGTTGTAACTAAATGATATTAAAAATGTCTTGGATTAAAAACAAATATAAGTTAATTTTAGTCTGTAAAATAATTATTTCAGAAAGGTCTGCTGATTGTATTTATTATTATCATTAGAAAAGTAGAAAA